TCCGACGACAATAAGTATACGTTATTTTTGTAAAGACTTGTATATTAAAAAACATAAACTCCTAGAAAACGTCCATGAAGTAACAGCAAAGATTTTCAAGCTTGTTTATCGGCACAATCAATTTGTTTTCCCATCAAGGTCTGTTTTAACATGTGTAGGGACATCCCAAATGTGTAAGGCTATTGGAAACCAAAACAATAAAGGAATGGGATAGCTATAATTGGATAAATTCGGCATATGAACACACCAAAATCAATGATTTTTTTTCAGTGGCTGTGTGACCTTGTGTCTAACGCATTCATATGCAAATGACTAATCTGTGAAACAAACAGGGGCGGAGACAAACGACTCAAATGTTTGGAAACTCTCATTGTGTGTCAGACAGCTACTGGTAACACATCCTAACATTGCTTTGTCTTGAGTTTATCGTTGAAACTTATAGGCACACAGATTAAACCTGTGTTGCTGATTTTGGAAAACACTACTGAGGCTTCCTTGCTTCCCTTCAGAAAATCTACATTTTAACCAACTTACATGACATTCTATATTATGTTGACTTTATCACATGAAGGTTTATAGTGCATTTCATCAATTAATAAATAAATGTGAAAATCGTAATTTTCAACACAAATAATAGTCTCGCTACCTTAACCTAGAACTCTCAAACCGGAGTTGTAGAACTGGGCTGCCTATATTGTGCCTCTCTGATGTGCTCAGCCATTGTCTAGGGATCTCATTATGCTATTGTTGAACCTATACACATTGCACATGTGCCATACTCACTAATTTATTCATTTGAAACAGATTATATATATATATATACCTTTGATATGCATTATGGGTAATAATAGCCTGCATGATGCATTTGATTTAAGTAGTCTTTAATTTTACATGTGACTACAGGACACCTTATTTTTAATATTCATATAGACTATTTAAATTAGTTGAATTAAACAAAAAGAGAACACACTGAATGATAATAAAGATACACTGTATATTTCCCACCATGCAATGGGCTTAGACGATTGAAAATATCAATTGTACGTGTTAATTTTATTCAACAACTTAGAACCGTATTTGTCCACATATGTATACAGTACTTATACATCAAACACTTTCTATTGCTATCTGCGAAGTATTTTAAGCATGTTTAGGTTTGTAACGTATCTACAAATCTATAGATTATATATATCGTACTGCACTGTGAGTGTAAGTTCACAGACACTCACTAGAATGGTTTTAGAAAAGAAACCCAGAAAACAAATTTAACTACATATTTATCTAAGTACTATTGACCAAAAGCTGTATTTTCAAACAAAAGTAATTTGATGTACCAGAATATATGGGGCTAATTATTTTTAGATTTTTAGTGTTTTTTATTCATTTAAATGTTATACAATATTATTCGGCACATGCACATACCCATCCTTCAATAGAAAATCAATAGTCGTAAAGACATTTTAACAAAGTGCAATGGACATATTCCAATATATACGAGACAAAGTACACAAATTTACACACATATACTCGGACATAGGACAATGTAACCAGTAATGCAGAAATGTGCCAGACGATTGTATACTGGAGTCGTAGTTTGGTCTGGTAGAAGTGAGCGGTAGTGCGTGTACAACACATACAACGTTTACACAAAACGAAAATTGAACAATTTTATGATCCTGTAGATGTTGAATGGTGTACGTGATAAAGTAGATATTGTGAAAATGAGTACAACATATCACTTTATAATAATAATAATATCATTTATAATGAAGCACTTGTTATTTGATTGAAGAGCGTGTACATCTTTTTGATGATTTTGTTCAAATTGTACATTTTCTATTTTTCCGAATCTATTACTTTAAAAAAAACAGAAATGGAAAAATGTTATCATTTCGATGACCTAATTTATGAATTTGCTCAATAATGACGTCATTCAACAAGTGTACACATACTTAGTGGAATACACCATATCAGTATGTATATATACAATTTTACAAATCACTGATTCACTGGTTCTATAGTTTGTAATGCCATTTGCAAACACAATAAATGTAGTATAAATGATGAATGTCCGACCTTTCGGATAATAAATAATTACCGATTCGTCTGAAATGTTTGCTCACATTTTTATTAGGTAAAGAACTGTATCTGACATTAGAAACCGTTTATAGACTGAAAATTATAATGCTTTAAATAAAAACAAACAAACATGCAATAATGTATTAAAAGATTCTGAAATCGACACTTTCATTGCTGAACATGGATAACAAATAGAACAAATAATTATTTTCCTCAATCTACTTACGCACTTCATATTCTTTTCAGCGGATCAAAACATGTTTATATATAAGATTTAGGAAGTAAAGGCTTGGAAGAATGTGTTAACGAACATGGGTTTCAATAATACCAATTCCAATTTTGTTATTTCTTGTTCATTCCACAACACAGAAGTCAAGGATATTATTTTGGTGAAAATGATGATGATGAAATGTATTTAATTATACTACTTAATGTTTAAATAGAATTTTCCATGCACGATTGTTGGTGAAAATGACACAACCATGTTGGCCGAGAACTGTTTTTCTTTTTAAACAATGGTATACAGTTTATATTTGTTCATGAATATAGTATTTATAATAGCTGTTTAGATGTGAATAGTGGAATTTGTATTGAAATAAACCCCAAAAACGCATTATTTTGCATTCGTCTCTTCTTTGTTTTTACAATAACTCTGAATGACCACATTTTGAATGAATATTACCAGAAACATAGTTATATATATTTCAATAGATAATACATTGCAATTGTCATCGTGGTTTTTTGTTATTTTTGTGTTCAAATTACTATAGTGAAAGAACAATATGGTAAATGACAACTACGGCAGTTCTACTAAATGTGCACATACAAGAAATGTAAAAATTACTCATTACAAAAGATGTTGTTAATATATACAAAAATAGGCTTAATTGATACGTCGGTAAAGATTACTGAAAAAAGATCTCTAGAAAAGACACCCAAAACTTATGTGGTAACAACCTAGTTGAATTTATGTAATACATATTATGTTACATTATGCAAAAGTTTAAGAATCAAGTGTTCACGTATTTCTTGTTTTCGGCCAAGTAACGGTAAACTTTAAAATTCTTTATTATCGTTCTATCCATGCACACAATATCTGGCGTAAGCATGTTGTTATGTGCTAGATTATGTTTTGCCCACATATTAGAATAAACAGATTAAGTAAATTCAAGTTTTCCTTCAATAACTCCAAGATTATGTCAATATTAAACAATTCAATCTCTCAGACGTTGCCACAGTAACATACAATAACTGAAAAAAAAATGCATAGTAACGATGTATGATGCATGCTTGACAGATAAATGTTCTATGTAATAACTTACGTAATTACGAACAGTACATCTAGCAATTTGCAAATTGTTGGTGCTTTCAAACAATTGTATCGAAGAAGTGTCATTTAAAAGGTAAGTAAGTTATCTGAAGTTTGAAACAAAGTTTTCCATGTGTGGTCGCACTGTTTAATTGTCGGCTCTACTGTCGACTTATCGAAAAAGCAGAACTGTTCATATTACTGATTGTCCCGTCGTCGTTCGTTGGCGTCAATTTTACATTTTCTACTTCTTTTTGAGAATGGCTGAAAGGTCAGCTTGCTTTGATAATTTGTATATATGTACCTTGGGTGGTTCTTTCTCAGATTTGTATCTTCAAACGTAATTTTTGCTAAAAGGTGTTATTTTCAACTTTTTCGTGAAAATGCTAGACCAGTTGCTACGATATATCATAATTCGCAACCTTGGGTGGACCTCAGTTGGATTTGTGACCTTCAATTTTCTACTTATTTTGGATTTTTTTTTCACTTTTGGTACAAAGGCTATCCATTTCTTCTTCAAAATGGAAAATGCCTCCCCCAATTGCTTTTATATTTTATATGTAGACAGCTTGGATGGAACTCTGACAGACACATTTTCAATTTTAGTGTGAATATCTTTGTCATTTTTGGTAACAAGCTATATCAGCAGAGCTGTGTAAACCGATATGCTGCTGGCTTTGTCTCATCCCTGTCGTCCTATGGCTGACTCGAGAATTAGGATAAATAGAAAACTTGTTTTATTTAGCTTGCACACAATATCGGATGTAAGATTTCACAGTTTAGAGAAATAAATTGTTAAATGATCTGTGTCCATGGCTATTGTAAGTTTATCATTTGCCTTCACGCAGAGAGTAAGGAATCGATTCTTTTCAACCAGGTGTCTGTTAAATTTATTAAATTTTTCTGGCAAATACTTTCTTAGACAAATACTGCCCTCAACATATCTACTTATGTAACAGTGTATTTGAATCGAATCTAGGAATATTTTGAATAACTATAGAGGGCGGTGTTTCGATAAGTAGCAAGGGAAATAACCAAATAATATAACATATATTATACATACCACAATTGCGATGAAAGAAGTATATTGTAATATGCTTTGAGAATTTCCTTGTCATGTTTTCAAAACAAAAGACAAAACTATAATGTTTCTTGAAATACACAGTTTCAAAAACATTGTGAAATATTATGAGACAATTAGGAATATTTAACGCTATTTTGTTATAATTTTGAATTCCTTGCAAAAGCGAAATTTATTTATTTATTTCAACTTCCTTTATAGTAACATTGTGGATTACTAAACAGTTGTAACCGTGGACTAGTAGAATAAAGAAATAAGTGCATTAACATGGTACAGTCATTACAAACATAACTATGATATTAAAATTTACGTAATTAAGGATACATTAAACAAAAATTAAATATCAGTATAAAAGCATTGTTGCGTAAATTGTACTTATGTGCCAAGGGGAAATGAACTGCCAATACAAGTCTATGTATAACTTTTATTGAAAGTGCTGAAATCAATTAGTATGTTGTTATACTCATCCTAAATGTCTGCCGAGAATGATGAAACGTATAATTGTCTAATGAATAGGCTGCAGGCAGTCATGAATGGTGGTTTGGTTTGAAAAGTGTGTTTGTGCTCGTTTTCTGGAATACTTTTGAAAATAAGTGCTTCATGAACACATATGTGTTTGTATTTATATCATTAGATATGCGATCAAAACCGACTGGTGACGTGCAAAAAATGTTTTGAAATTTCTAACGATTGACTCGTTTTTCCCCAAAAGACGCATTTGTTTGTTTTATCACTCTAAGCCTTGTAACTTCGAGATGAAAACTCTGATTTACGCGCTGAATGGTTTAAACTATGGGTATGTGAATGTGTTTGACACTACATGAGCACCTGACTGTATATCTAACAATTTATTTTTAGCTTATTATTTTAGTTTTTTTTATTTCAAAACACGCATTTTCGATAGTCTAACATGAACTCGTGACCTAATATTTGTTTTTAAAAAAGTGCAGACACATTCCTGTGTGTGAATTTCATTTGAAAAAGACGTAAACATTCCAGCCAATTCGGCTCACCCAGTCTTCATTTACAGTGGTTCAAAGTTAGTGGAAGCGGCAGAAAATGAAAAATGAAACATCAGTTATGTAACAAACGCGTTTCATGCGTCACAAATACGGTTTAAAATTTTCTGACAATAATGATTTTTGCAAAAAAAAAACAACAACAAAATCGAAAATGTTCTATGATTACGGCGGCCATTTTCAATCCGTTATAAACGCGTTTTGTTTTAGAGGATAATCTACTCTTGACTTGTAATGTATCTGCAAACAACATTATTGTTGTTGTTATTGTTGTTGTAGTTGTTGTTGTTGTTGTTGTTGTTGTTGTTGTTGTAGATTAATTGTTGAACAAGAGATGTTAATGATCTAGGGTGCGTGATTCAAGGCGAGGATATGATCGCGCACGTTTGTTCTTAATTCAAGGCGAAGACACCGTGACCGCTTGTGTCGGTGGACTGTAAAACACAACCCGAATAAGAAGCTTCACAGATAAAACTGATATTACCCAATACGGTAGATGTCAAACGCTGCGAAATCTGGTATTTACAATTGTAGTGATCGTGAATTGCTTAAAGGTTTTTTTAGATATTGCGCCGACCGATAGCTTGGTTTAACTCGGCCAAGTAAAATGACTCATTCTTTTTTGGCTACTAGCGTGTTCGTACAAAACGACTTCTGTCCAATGCGACTGTAAAATAGTCCTTCCTTCGACCTATGCCAACATGACCCTGGTCGTCCTGCAAAACAAAAGAATGAATTATGTCATTCACAGAAACTGCGATAAGGAAACCAGTATATCGAAACATACAGACAGTCTGTGGTCGAGAAATTTCAGGAGTTTTAGTTTTAGAGCTGCCACTTTCGACATTGGTAATTTCTTCTTTGATCTACCACGTTTGCGCTTTCGGAATTTTCCAGACATTGTAAACAGTGATTCTTCTCTTTCAAATACGGAAGCGCAACTAAAGTTCACACTCAAAATCCCGTGATCCTTTTCAAACAGAGCGGTGTGTGATGCGCCAAACCAGCAGCTTCTCCCTAACTATTGATTACTAGTATCGTAATCTGTTGTAATCCGCGAACCAATAAGTTGAATCGTGAATAGTACAATAAAGTCGATAGATCCTGAGACATGCCATGTGTTTTTTATCATATTTCTTCAACTTCTAAACGTAATTTCATTCTGTAACTTACACTATTACTTGGATAATTTGAGCTAAGTTCAGAAAATCAAAAACAAAACAAAAATAAAATAAGCCACGAGCGAGTCGCTACCTTAATGTTTATGTATTTAAAATGTTTACTTACACCTGTAAATAAATCAGAATGATATAATGCGCTGGTGGGTCTCTAGACTGGCAAAGTCGGAACTTATTTTTTGTTTTACAAAAAGAAATAATTAATTATTTGTTGTTTTAGTCCTTTTAGCGTGAGCGCGAAAACTAAGCTGACCGCTAAAAAAATCCCGACTGGACGCATCTGCGGGCATTTGACTAATATTAATTATTCATGTGTCATTGTTTATTCATGAGTGGGTGTGTGATAGTAAACGTGACGTTTTAAAGATTAATTTGATTCGATCGCAGAGAGGATACTTCAACTAATGTAAATTGCATGTTCTTACATTTGCCGAGCTCTTTATTCTGGGAGTATTATGTTGTTAGCCTTGATTTTTCCTTTAACACAACTGCATCGATACACTGGTGAGACACAAATTATGATTTATTCTGGCGTGTGTATTGCAAGATTTACACCCTCCCTGCCGTGAGCAGCCTGTAGCAGAACAAAAATGGTGGACGGACGTTTCGGCTATGAACGCTACGGCCCCGCTACTACCTACGCTATTATGTTCGCTTTTCAAATTGTTTGTCGATGATTAGATTGAGTAGTGAATGACATCAGTATTGTTTTACACTCTAAGCTTATTAATCATGTCATTCAACTGATGAAAACAAATATATGTAATATATTGGTTAAGTTGAGTTCAATAATATGTCAAAGTTTTTAAAGACAATGTTCTGTGACCAGTCACGTGACCAAACTGTGCACACCAGCTGGTTACATTGTTCAAAATAGAATATCCTGTCATTGCCAGATTGACTGTACAAAGAGACCATTGACTGTCTTGAATTCTAAAAGAAAAAAAACTGGCAACAACAGAAAGTAAGCGACATTATTTTTTTTTCTCATCGAAATGTATGTGTTCGTGATTTTAACATTAATTCTCGTTGATAGAAAACAACTTAGAGGAATTCAGTGATCTATTAGTGTGAATATGCTACTCCGGCAACACTGGCATGTGGGAATGTTTGTTCTGAGTATCGAGTGAAAGTATACTGTTAAAATCGGATTAAATATAATTTTCACAGCATGATTATATATATAAATGTGTGCAATGCTGTGATATTTGACATTTAAATAGCAGTTTTAGTTGATACGAGTGACATCGAAAACAAACGAGCATCGTTTTTCTAATAAATTAATATGAATTTTATCATGTTTAACGGAAGAAAAATGTCGCTAAAATATATTGCACAATAATATTATGTATATATCTATATATATATATATATATAGATTAAATTTTAATAACGGAATGTGCTGCACATTATTTGGCTTTGAAGAATTATAATATATCTGCGATAAAGTACACCCCACACGGCGACAAAACAATAAGGACGTAGTCAGCGCTGGTCACGTGGTTAAAAGCAATTTTGCATTCACATCACGTCGAGTCCGCTGTTCATTCACATCACCTTCGACTGAACTGCCATGCATTGGACTGTCTGATTCGGACATATTTCTGTATTTAATGACTGCATACGGGTAAGTAATAACTATCTTACGCATCTTATGAAAATCATCTGGCATTTTATGTAGCTTCAAGGTTGAAAAATGAACCATTTCCCTCCAATTCTTATCCCTCCTTAAATGGTTCATATTTATGAATGGTTGGCCTTAAGTGGGGAAAAGGGCGTGGACATCTTTTCTAAGAAACTCGTTTCGCTTGCTCAGATGCGCCAGATTCGCAGTCATGACTGCGCAGCCTAGTTGGAGGGCATGGTTTCTCATCCAACGAAGTAACAGCATCGGCTAGGTGCGGTGAAAAATCAAATTTTTATTCTGTGAGAAGCTATGGAGCAGTTCATAACCGTTATTTGCGTGGATGAATGATTTGTGCGTGGTATGAGTCACTATTAATAATGTTCTAAATGTAATAAATTATTTATAATGTTTGTGGACGGCATGCCTAATCACACTGCCGTGTCAAGAGACGCTTGGAACGCGCACTGTACCCATATCATTTTTTTACACAAAGACTAATTATAAAAAACGCTATGCCCAATATTATGCCCACTCACGTGGTCAATAAACTAAATTATAAAAGCGGGTTTAAGTTAAAGCGTGAATTACCAGTGATTGCCTTCATAATGTAATTGAACTTGCGGTGGCTTGATTACCTGTGTGTTTATCATTTTTGACAGGTGCGATTGGCAGTTCAATAAAACAGATCTTCTTGCTCGAGCGTGCTGATACAGTTTCTAATTCACTGATGAATCGCGTGTACAGATGAGCTCATTGTATTCCTTTCTTTTCACTCCGGATTGTGCCTACTATAATGTATTCATAGTGTATATATATCCACGAACAATAGCTACTTTGTTTAAACAAATCCGATTTTCTTATTCAATATAGCGTTATAGTATAATCGTACAGTCCCAAAGAATGTTGTCACATTGTTGTTACGTCATATCATTGACGATAGATGTGGTGTCTCGGAAATCTAATATGGATATTGTTCAAACTTGATATGAATTGTGAGCGGCTACGATTCCGCCACTCCCCGAGGCTACTAAACCAGCGGTTAACTAAATTTTAAAAGCAATAACGAAATATAAATAACGTGAATTGTTCAAATAGGAATTTACGTACCTGCCACTATGTGTTAATGCATATCATTTGTTTTAATTAGTCAAGCTTGTCTATGGATTTTAAGAAAATGAGTACCACTAAGATTTCCACCTCCAAACAAATCAGAAAGCAATTTTGTATTCGTAATTGATACGAATATAATAATGCAGTTGATTTGGAGTGAGGGATTATTATAATTGCGACAGCAAAAAAATACCTTTTTATGCGTCGTAATTTGTCGTAAGTAGCGAAGTCATTCAGCATGGCCCACTGGCGAATCGTTGCATAATTTGAATACTGATTCTATTACTGAGCTAATAACTGACAATTATAATGCAACCGGTCGTTGTCAGACCACCTATTATGCCCTTGAGTAATAGTGCTCCCTAGGTTTGGTACGTAATGATCGAAATGAAAGTGACATAATAATTATTAGTATACTAGAAATGGAAAATCAAATTGTTGTTGAACGAATGATTTGTAGGTCGATACAACTCCGAATAATTACGGGTTCCTGGATCTTCGTCACGGTCGAACCCTGACATTTAGGTGTGTGATAACTCATCGTGTGATAACAACCAAGGGTTAAACTGAATAACATGACGATTAACTGATCTATGTTTGAAAACATTCGTATGAAAACATTTGAATAATAGATCGGTTTCCTTGTTGCATGGCAACAAAGCAATATAATATTGGTGGATCGTATAACTTGACGTGTGTGATTTGCATATATAAACATTTCAGCGCATATGCAGGATATGTACCGTGACGTCACATGAAATTCAAATATGTTTACAATTAATTATTCATCTTCATCAACAACATGATAGATTCTATTGTTCTTCCTGGGTCTGCAACAAATGCATTGTCATGGAAATATATTCAAACGTCACGAACCAAAGGAGTGACATTATTCTCCTTCCATTGACATTTCTCCTTCAATTGAAATTTTTCTGTTTTTTTCCATCAACAAATCAATAAAGCGCGGCACGGTTCACACTGTCACAGCGCAAAATAAAGAGACGTATGAAAAGTTCTAAAACACTTTTTTAGGATTAAGTTTGCTACATTATATTTTGTAATTGACTGTATGAAATCTAACAAGTAAAAAATAGCGTAATTACCTTGTTTTTGAATTGTGAACCTCAATTAGATATTCACATTCAAATCCAAAATGGCTGCCAAAGTAGGGAAATAGTAAAGTCATCGTTTCCATGGAAACACCGGGTACTAACGATTTGTATTTGCTTTTTGTTATTTGCCACTCAGAAAAATATAAATATTTTGAATTGTTTCTAAAAATTCAATTTTTTACCAACTTTGATGCACTGAGAGATACATAGTGTGTATTTGTATGTGATTGCGTAAGGCCAACTGTCTTGCGAGTAATATACCTATGGCATACCCTATAACGCTCATCGACGATATTTATTGGTCGTTACTATGGTCACTGTCACTGTGATATAATGCTGGTTGTAAATTACCGATGTGATCTGTCCCGCGGGCGTAGATTGATTCTATGTGTAGATGGGGCCGTCTCTTAGAAGATTATGCGCACTTAGAGACGAGCGCTGATAGACTGTGTGACGTCAGATCCTCCATCTAGATGTTAGTAGATTGAGTTTCGTGATATTGTGATTGGTTAATTGTGTTGTAGACGTCCTTGCGATGAAGCGCAATCAACGCGCATGCGCGAATTGACACATTTGTCTGGATTGAGATTATACCCGAGTGTTGTTTCAATTAAACTTACGGTCTGGTTGCCATGGAATGAACAAAAAATCAGACGTCTCATTTTCTAGACAAGTACACATACGATGTACAGAAACACAGGGACGGCGAATGAGAAACGCAGGAGAAAGGAAACGATTCTGGATTTCTTCTAAGATCAGAGGGCCCACTCGACAATTAATAGCTTGTTCGGGTAGAGTTTTTAAGTTTTAAATGACCAATCAAATTGCGTCATTCAGAAAGAAAAATACACGTTTTTGCTTTTGGTAAGTTAATGTGACATTATTGATATATATATTTGTTCTCACTTCTCAGGTAATAAATGAATATTCTCCACAAAGAATATCGTACCATGTCATAAGACACTCAATCCGGCAATGTCATGTATTCGCTTCTTGACTATGTTACTTAGTGGTCGGTGCCATCAATGGCACACACTCTGTCAACCACGACGCCATGTATTTATCAATATTCTAGATCACTTTTATTAGATGGACAGTTCCCCTCCGTAAATAGAAAACCTGATAATATACACACGTTATGCGATTGAATCCTGTGTTGCGCGCTGTTATGTAAATTCACACGTGCTTGTAACTATTCACACGGCACATTCTCAATGGAAGTATTTTCTAGTAAAAAAATTAAATAACCAGACTGAATTAATAGTTCATCTCCAACCTTGTTAACAGCTACTTCAGAACCTACTCTGCGATTGATAATTGTTTTTTGTGTATTGCATAAGTATAATAATTATTCAATTCACGTATATATTTCATCCATACCATATGCCATAATATGCATAATCACGTAATGCAGACAATGTGGCGCCGTATTCTGTTTCCATAGTCGCATTACATGACTTGACACATATAAGTATACACTTGTGCAGCGAATTTTGTGTTGTTATTCAAGTTTATTTCGATAACACCATAACGGGTACATTTAATTACCTTTGTAGATACATTTGTAATATAAAATTCGCTTTATTTACACGTTCATGTGTAATCATTCCAAACATCTGTTCATCGTGTGAATTCGCTTTTCTCGACATTGTATCATTCTATGGAAGTGGATATATAGACATTGACGCCTAATTCTCCAATAGCTTCGAATACGTGACGCAATTAAGAAATATCATCAAGCATCCCCTCTCAGGGTATAATTAAAAACATTGAACACGCATCGTAAAATAGATTGAATGAGAAGTATTTGCAAATATTGCAAACAGCTTGTCAGTTGCCCGAGTACATATAATGAATACTGAATAATTTTGGTTATACTGTCCGATGAAACGACACAAGAAACACTACTAAATGTAACACGTCTGTATTTCTATTCACACTGGCATATAGATAAAAGTGCATCGTGTCTTAAGAGAGAAACACATCACATTTACAGATGATCAGATGAGACTGATGATTTCAAAGTTGACGTGCAGACTTGACACGTATAAAGGATGGCATTAGAGTAGCGAACTGATGTTATACAACACAACGTAGAATTAAATATTTCGCTGATAATTACGATCTTTTTACCATAGCTTTCTTAAATCATAATGCTACATAGAGCTACGTTTGACTCATTATGCTGTAGTCAATGTACATGCTATGACATTGCAATGCCCCTATAATAACCGAACTGATAAATAAGGTGTCGTATTGTCGTACTGAAGATATTTGCGCTAAATTATTAAAAATGCAGAATGGATAAAATATTGTTGTGCCGCGTCCCCTCAGTAGAGCCGAGTTAAAGTTCTACTTTGGGCTGAACACCAACAAGATTTCAATGAGGAAATTTACGCTACCTAGATTGATTTGTATTATATAATTAAATATTGTCACACAGCATGGTCATGTAGTCATAAACATGTCTTTGAAATGTATTTTTCCTGGCCAAATATTTATCATCAGCTCTTCAAAAAGACAGTGATATAAAATGTCGGGAACTATTAGCGAACACACCAACTTTCACTTGTAATTTCAACATGAATCAGAACATAATGTCGGAGAAGAACTTATTAACGACAATTTCTTAAATTATATTATGTAAGGGTTATCACATAGTTTTTATTATACTTCAGTGTGAGTTTATTTTGTTTAGATCTGTAATATCAAGTATTGTTTTCATTGACTGTATTATGTCAATTAATACAGTTCACATGCATTTGCGACTTCGCAGTT